TCCCTTTCAGTAAGCCAGCTACCCGTGAATGTAGACCTGTGTATGGATGCACCATCCTGTTGGAACACCTAGGTTGCCATTTCCCCGTGAACCTCAGCAGCGAACGGGAGAAGAGCATGCTCCAGAGTCTCACAGTACCTTCTCGAATCTTGCTTTCCTTCTAAAAAACCAACGGAGACAGTCCATACGGCGACATTCCACCCCAAACCATCACGGAAGCGCCCCCATTTTGCCTTTTTGAAAACATCCGCTCCTCTGTGCGAAGTTCATGCCAATGGCTGGCTAATCCATCCGGTCCATCAAGGTTAAACTTCTTCTCGTCGCTGAAGATAACCTTATTCCAAAATATGTCTCCCTTTCTAATAAATAGACGCACCCATTTGAGTCTGTTTTCGCGGTGACGTACAGTCATCATTGGTGCGTTAACTATCTTTTTATACTTCAGATGAGGCGTGGAACTTAATATTTGTTGCACACGCCTTACTCCAGTCGGCAAATCCATCTTGTTCTTAAGTCACGAGCTGAATACTCTCCTGAGCAGGCCTTACTAATTAAAGCCTTTTCTTGACGCACGGTGATCTTCTGTCCTGTGACGTGTGCACCACGGCGGGAATGACGATTGGGGTTCTTTAAAAACCTTTACACTGCCCCAACGGAGCGTCCTAAAGTTTGGGCGATGTCTGTTAGAGACAGGAGCTGGTGATGGAGAGCCAGGATTTGCCCTTTTTCGTTGTCGGTTAAAGGTGGGCCTCTGTGCATGGTTGTTATCGCAATGGGCGGGACGGGCTAGTGAACAGACGAGGAAGATGATCTCTTTCTAGTAAGGTTTGTTCTGTTTTGAATAATGGTTTATCGTGGATCTGCCCGCCCTTTTAGGGTACTGTATCATACGGCGTTTCGTGTATTTATTTGCATTTCGCACGTTTTTTATGAATAACAGGGCGGTGGTTTGAGCTACACCCAATCCGACTTCAGAATCGTTCGTTTCAGCACGTTGTTGAGGCGGGTGAAGAGGTGCTTTTATAAAATCTGGTTGCAATACGGAAATACGGGCGGGACGGAGGGTGTATTTATTTGCGTTTCGCGCACTGTACAAGAATCTGATAATCTTGCTGTATCGCTCTGTGCCATGCTCCCGTACAGCAAAAGCAGTGACTGTCGTCCTGCGTGACACGCCATCAGAATTGACTTTGAACGTTTTAGCGGCGTAATTTGCGGTCGGTGCAGCCTCCGCGCGGTCATCTACAACGAAAGCTCTCCGTCTGTCTGCGGCTATAGTGGCAATTCTTGAAATATTCTCCTCTGTAGATACTACGTCGTCCTCCACATCTTCATCAGTACCCTAGTTATCCGCTTCTTCATCATTTTCCTCGTTCCGCGTCACATCGAGAAAAGAGCTTCCAACAAATGGGTGGCATTTAAGAATGTGATCTGGCATTATCGAGATACAATTAATCCCACTAATAAACAGGCTTATCAAATCGAAACTATATAGGGTCAGTTTGGACGCCATTTCTTTAACGTACAGTGCATGCCCTCGGCAATAACATCTTGCTAAACATTGGGACAGCAGTTGTGAATACATAAAAAGACTCATAATTTAATCAAGTTTCATTTCCCTCTTGACATTTTAAACAGGCGTGTTGGTTTCGAAGATGTTGACATCTTCGAACCCAACCTACTTGCTGACATCAGCAAGTAAAGTCTGTCAAAAAAGGTTCTTTTTTTAGGTATTCTAAAAATGGCTGGAAAAGACGTGCAGATCCCATCAAACTCCATCCTTCCGCAACACAGAAGCCCACTGCAGAGTCGAAACTACCTTTTTCCTTCTTGTTGAGGATGCACAAGTTGAGAAGAAAATAAGTTGAAAAGTAGCCTCATAGGAGGTCAAATGGCCTCATATGAAGTCATTTGTCTTCTAGACACTAGCTAGCAACAGCAAATATATACACTCAGTTGCAAAAACGCAACTATCAAGCGATGCTTCCCCCTCGCTGACCTCTAAATCTAAACTCTGTCTCGAAATGACCTGGTAGTCTTCTGCCGCTTGTGCTCGGTAAGCATCCAGCCCTGATTCGTCGCCGTAATAACTGTGAGACCCCTAAGCACTTCCAACCGGGTAGCATCCTCCTCGCCAACCTTTTTCACGAGCGCCTTCTCCGACACCGGCTTCCCCGCCTGCACAAGGACATTCCACACCTTCTCATAAAACGCATTGATCTCCCCAATCTTTCCCGCGCGGATTTTCAAGTTCCTCGGCAGCCGGTTGTACACCTTCCTATCCACCGGTTTGAACACCTCCTTAACCTCCTCCGCAGGCGCCGATGCCTCGGACGACGTCTGCGACAGCCTGGGCTGCGTCTGGCGCTTTGTGGCCGGCTGCGGCTTGCCGGCCGCGCTCAACGCGGCTCTAGCTTGCTTCTTCCGCGGCGTGGCGACTGGCGTGGACACCTTATCGGAGGACGTCTGGTGGTGGAGTTTGGGGTTTGTGTCGACCTCCCTGAGCGGTCGGCCCAGCTCGGGTACATTGACGGCCGCCGCCTGCAGCAAGGCGAGGTCGAGGCCGTCGGTAGAGGCAGCGGGGGCCAGGGCAGGGAACAGGCTGACGAACTGTGCGTGAGCCTTGAGGAAGTGGGCGAGCAGTTGGTCGAGGTCTTGGTCTCGCTGCGCGAGCGAGGCGGCGAGCTGCTGGTAGAGGACGTTTCGCGCGGGCGTAGCGTCCGTGTCCTTCAGGTTGGGCGCCGCCACGGGGAGCAGTGTCAGGGCCGCCGAGTGCAAGTTGGCCAGGTCCGTGCGGCACAGGTTGGCCAGGTCGGCCTTCTGCTGGTGCACGGCGAGAAGCTCGTCGCGCAGGGAGGGGAGGGCCGACTGCAGGGAGCGCAGACGCGTGAGGAGCATGAGCGGATTCAGCACGGAGGACGAGGCCGAGTTCGGGTCGCGCAGTGGGTATAGGAAGCGGAATTCGTCGTGCAGACGCGAGGCAACCGAGCTTAGGTCGGCGTCCGCGGCTTGGAGGACCGCTTGAATGGACTGGATGGCGTCGGAGGGGGCCATGGTGGGGTGGGGGCGGG